TTTAGGGGCGAAGCTTCTTAGGCCGCGTTCACACTGGAATTCCGGCCACCGAAAGTGCTCCGAATCCGGTTCGGTGGCGGCGAGATCCGCCGAAAGGGCCCTCTCCGCGCCGTTCGCTCTCGGACCAATTTTTGCGGCGTCTGCCGCCGAATCGGTCACCGCGCACCAATAGGAGCGCTAGTCAAGGAATTTTGAGAAATGGTGACTAAGCCCTACTCACTTGTTATGCCGCAGTGCACGTAACTGAATGTTGAAACCAACGGGAGTTTAACCTACTCTGTGCCTACTTCGCCTCCATATTTCGTGAAAGAGGTGACCGAGCTTGCTGTTGGCGTGACCGAGCTTGTTGCGGTCTTGCAGAGCAAAACGAACCCACCAACGCCGCTGGCGTCGGTCGTTTTTCTGCTCTTCGTGCATTACAAGACAGCCACTTGCCAGCAAAGTAAGCAGTACTGTCTTTTCTTGCGTACGAGAATCGTCGAAGTATACACCACCGGATAGCGTAGTAGCGTTTGCGAGCCGCGACAACAACCGGGTGACAGCGCATCCATCCCGCGTTCGCCCCGTAGTAGATGGCATATGCGGCGGCGCGGGGCGCGTCCAGTGCGAACGACACTGTGTTTCGGCGGCAGGGGAATTTCGGTCGCTGTAGAAAGCGGATGTTCCAGTGGGAACTAGGCATTATAGCGGCCCCCGTTCGTCCCCCGTAGTTTGTAACAAGTATAACATGTTGACCTCCAAGGTGGTGCTGGTGAGAGACTTCTTCTGTGCGTTGTTGAACAATAAAAAATAGTGCTCAATGTACATGTCTATGGCTGCTAATGGGGAATGAGAGACAGGAGCATTCGGCTTTTAGTTAATGCGCAGGCTGTGATTACCATTAGCACCCATTGGCATGTACATTGAGCACTATCTGACAAAAAAGGGTTGCTACGTTATACTCGCTGCGTGTAACCTCCTTAGCTTTAGAAAGGTTTAGCGAGCGTTGAGCCGCAGTGCCATGAATACAATGAACTTGTATATACCATGAATAAACTCGAGGTGGTTAAAAATGGGAAGTAGATACGAAGCGCAAGCCGTAAGAAAGTAAAAGCCGAATTCTCCGCCTCTCATTTCCCATTAGCAGCCATTGGCATGTACATTGAGCACTATCTGACTGAAAACGTTTGCTACGTCATACTCGCTGGGCGTAACCTTCTTGGTTTTCGAAAGGTTTAGCGAGCGTTCGGCCGCAGTAACATGAATACACTGAACTAGTATATATCATCAACTCGAGGTGGTTAAAGGTGGGAAGTGGACCCGAAGCGCAAGCCGTAAGAAAGTGTGCGTGTGCCACCTCTCGTTTAGTCCTTGGAATGTCCGCTGGATGGCGGTGCTTCTATATGGGGAATATATGATAAAAAGATGCGAGATGGTGGTACTTGGAGTGTTGAATAGATGGACGAACGGACACATAGACAGATACATGGATGGACGCATGAACGGACGCAGGGGCGGCTGCATGGACGAACCCAGGGACGCACGCACGAACAGACGCACGCACGGACGGGCTGATGGACGCATGGACGGACGGAAGCAAGAACGAATGAACGGACGAACTCTTCGCCCCACTCTCCATCATTCACTCCGTGGATATGCTGCAATTTTTTTTATTGGGTCTCGTACCGTTGCATAGGTACAATCCTTGTGACATATGTAAGAAGAGTCAACTCTTGCGTTTCACAACCGTATTTTGATAAACTACGTACATTTTTATTCCTAACTAGTATTGTGGGCGTTTTCATCTCATAGTTTATAGTTTATAGTGAAAGTCTATAGTGAGTTTATAGTGAAAGAACCTTCGGGAATTTGGTCGATCTTCTCGGACTCGAAGGCATCTCTTCAATGTCTTATATCACCCTTTCGCCATGGACCTAATGAACAGTTAATAGCTGAAATAAGGCTTCTTCATCACCAGCAACCGAAAAACAGCACAGCATAGTGTATCAGTGGATACCAGGTCATTGCGGTATATATGGCAATGACCGCGCAGATGAGGCCGCTAGATCTGCACACGATGGTACCCAATACACAGCCATCCCGTTCGCAAGAACCGACGCAGCTACAAGACTTCGTTCGCTTGCACGTGACCTCACACTGGTACAGTGGAACTCGACAGACTTCACAAACGCGCGCCTGCATAACTTGGATCCCGATCTGCAGCTTCGTCTTCCCCCAAGGATATCTCGAGCTGAGGAGACTCTTTTATGCCGCCTGTGGCTTGGAGTGGCCTTCACGAACGCATACTCTTATCTCATCGGGATGGCCAGCTCTCTTACATGCACTTACTGCAGTTGCGAAGAAACCATCGCACACCTTCTGTGTGAGTGCACCCATTTCAACGCGCAAAGACAAGAACTCACTGCAGCTCTGGATAGACTAGACAATCGGCCTTTGTCGGAACAAAGGATTCTGGGTCATTGGCCGAGCCCATCCTCAGCCCAGAAGGCTTTGAAACCTTTGCTGCGCTTCTGGCGGACAACTGCCCTCAGAGACAGACTTTAGTGTCATATACTCTTTGATGTCGCCTTTCCTCTGTCGCAATTTTTTTTTGTACTTTCTCCCTCTCTTCGCAACATTTCTTTTTAACATCTTTCATTCCCCTCACCCCGTTCCCCAGCACAAGGTAGCCAGCCGGTCTAAGCACTGGCTAACCTCCCTGTCTTTCCGCTTAAACTTTCTTCCTCCTTCTCCTTCATCTCATATGCGGGATCATGTAGTGAAACAATTAAAGCCCCTAAACTGTTAAATAAAGCTGAAATAATGTCGCTGTTATAAAATATTTGCCAAGTCATTCGGATTCACTGGGCTGGGGCCGAGGCACGCGAATTCTAACAAGCGTTGCCAAGAAACTCTTGCACTTGAGAGGCACTATCTAAAGAACTAGCACCCGTAATAATTTAATGAAAAGGGAGACGAAAGGTTGATAGCGAAATAGTAATTACGTATTTAAAAGAGCTCAAATGACAAGATTCTTATTGGGATCTTCGCGTGAGCCGAAAAGCAATGTGACTGCTGGTGGGCACTTCAAACATCTCTACACAGTCGATTAACTGAGTTTCAGCGAGACTTAGAGGAGTAAATATATTTGCAGTGCTCCAACCATCCAATTCAATCAATTTCTTTCAGTAATATGTGCACGTCAAACTTATACGCATTTCGCACGAGGGGCCTCTACATGTTAAATTACATTCACTCACGCGCGCATGAATCTGTCTGACTTCCTTGAAGAAGGGTTGTTGCAAAAATCAATGCACTCTCGCATTTGCGTTTTGGCCGAGATCACGCTTCTCCTAATACATTTTCGTATATGGTCCACATAATAAACGCAAAAGCGGAGGCCTGCTATGACTTGGTACTCTGAGGCTCGCGTTCTTCATTCTGCTTTTCATTTTATGTAGAGGCATGCATATTTGTTTTTTTTTAATATGAAATGAGCTTGTAGGTGACTCGCCAAGTCCTTTTTATTCTCAGCACCGTCTCCTGTTGTGAGGCGCACGTGCTTCGAATGCGGACGTGATCGATGGGGACGTCGCCCTTCGCGGCAGGTCGATGAATTCCATACGCTGAGCTGTCAAAAAAGCGCAAGAGTACAAAACGACAGAGGTGAAACGAAAGGATAAAGATGAAAGTCAGCCCCGACGACGCTCTCACTTTTTTTTCATCGCTTATTAGGTGTTGTGCGCTAGATACACTTTTTTTCGAAAAGCTTCCCTGCGAGAGTTGATGACGAGAGAGGGCTACGGATATCTGGTCACTTTTATATACATACGTAATGAGATCACGCCTTATCTGCCAAGATAGTGGGAAGCACCTAATATAAGCGCTGTCACGCCCGACGTGCATTAGTCTTTCCATCCTTCAATTTGTAAATAACAAGGTTGGGCCCTCTTGAAGTGGCTGTATAAGCCATCGATCGTTTACTGCGCGTGACCCGTGCACATCATTCTGAGTGGTTCAAAAATGGGCGGACCTACGAATACAGCGAGGTATTTAGGCGCGCCGAATTGAAGTTTCTGTTACTTCAGGAAACTACAGTGGAGAGAAGGGGCAGCGTTTATAGTAGATATTAGGATAATTTATATTACGATAATGTATTATTACGATAATTTATATTGTGTTAAACGCGCGTTTTTGCGAACACTCTTACTGCTGGAGTACCTATAGGCACGCGCAGTGCGACGACGCAGAGTGACGACGCAGTGATGCGCTTCTCACGATGGTCTGCATGCCTTTGATTCGCGACATTCCGTGAGTTAAAAGAGGACGTAAATAGTTATTGGCATGCAACACCCGGAGCCTTCGGGTGCAATTACCGTCATAAAACCTTCGTCGCAATAACCATGCTCTTTGAACAAGGATGGAAAAGACGTTACTAGGTAAATGCAATGAACACACTTTGCACTTTCTACTTGGGTAGATTGGGGAAGATTTCTTTCTCTTTTCTCTATTCCGGCGAAAGGGGGGGAAAGGCTTTGTCTGTTAGGAGAGAGACGATCTTCATTACTGAGGAAGTTATAGAAAGAGCGAGAAAGAGTACAAAATTGAAAACGAATGAAAAGAAATTGATTAAAGAATAGCTGCAAGTAACAAAGAGAAAAAAGAAGAACGAAAATAAAGAATGAAGAGAAGAAAGGAAGGTCTTCTTTCAGGCATGGCACCATTATCATAAAACTTCCGTAATATTTTCTTCCCTGTTCTTTCGTAGCTTTTTTTTTTACGCGAGGACTAAACTACTATAGTTATCTTTTCTGACCTTCTAAAGCCCACATATTGGCGTGAAATTGCATAATGCTTGTGCTCTGTCGATTACGATGAAAAAAAATTAAAACAATATAGGAGCATCGTCAAGTCTAACATAGCAACCTTTTGCTCTTGGACCTCCTTTCTACAGTTGCTGAGAGAAAAAACGCTGAATGAAATTGAACATAGCTAGATATTTAATGAAGATATGCACGTACCGTCTTGTCGCCGAGGTTGTTGACGATGCAGTGCAGGTAGGCTGTCTGGCCGAGTTGCGAGGTGACATTGCGCTCCGTGCTGTTGTCGAAGGACGGGAACAGGCGACTCGTGGGAGGCCAAAGGTCGTCGCTGATCTTGGCATCGCTCTCGTCAGCCACAGCCTTGCGCTGTCGAATGACCTCGGCCGTGGCGTCGTCCCCGCGTTCGGTGGCGGTCATTGTCGTCTGCCGAACTGCCGGTGTCAGCATGGCCGAGGGCGAGAGATGTCTTGATGAGTCTGCAAGGAAAAAAATAACAGTTGCTTGAATAGGAGCAAAGTTTGTATCGATTTACTAGGCCATTGCTTGAACAGTTGCTTGAATAGGAGCAAAGTTTGTAGTGATTTACTAGGCAATTTCATCATGAACAAGACGGGAAGAAACATGATTGATTTGTGGGGTTTAACGTCCTAAAACCACCATATGATTATGAGAGACGCCGTAGTGGAGGCCTCCGGAAATTTCGACCACCTGGGGTTCCTTAACGTGCACCCAAATCTGAGCACACGGGCCTACAACATTTCCGCCTCCATCGGAAATACAACCGCCGCAGCCGGGATTTGAACCCGCGACCTGCGGGTCAGCAGACGGGAATAAACATGAGTTGATAATGAAAAGGTTAGTGTTTCATGCATCTTGTTTTGCGTGTCACAGACAGCGTTGATCTCTTTTACTATTTGCGTCGACACTTAGGTGAATTTGGGGGTGGGTAACAACTTTGTAGAACTCTGGTGAATTCTGAGGAGTTGTTTCACAAAAAGAGTGTTATCGTCGAGGTTCGCCTTGTGTTTAAGTGAAAAAAAAAATGTGAGCACCATGAAATAGCATGTGCTCCACGGCCAGCCAATCATTCTGTACAGATGGTTATTTAAAGAGGCTGTAATTTGACGACAAGCTCTGCTGTAACCCATCCTGGTGCAGTTTAGAGCAAGTTGCGCTAATACTATTGCTGTTTTCAGTGAAATGGCCTTTTTTATTCAGCATGACTACAAACCTATCCTTTCACATACCAATCCAAGCCTAATAGAAACATTGGTTGTTACGTGTCCTTGTGCTTCATTCATATCATTCATTATTTTTTCATATTTTATCTTTCTGCTCATTCCCTTTGCAGTAAAGCCACCTGGAAATACCTATAATTCCTTTGTACGCTTATCTATGACTGATTTTTCTCTTCCTTCATTTTCGTCATTATGCTTCCTGTTTTATGCAGTTGAGGCAGTGCCACTGCGTTAGTAAAATAATGTTTCACAGTTTTTTTAGCCAGATTAGATATCTGAGGTGACGTAAACAGTATTTTATAATTGGTGTTTCTAACGCAAATCTGCTTTACGCCAGGGTCAACCAATGCTTTAATGATCTGTGTTTGTATTTGAAGTAAGATAAGTAATTTTCACACTAAAGGTTGACAAACAAAAGTTCGAAGAAAGAGTTCCATCACCAAAAATAAAATACACAAAGTCTCGGTTGGTGACGATAAGCGCTGGCGAAAATGTTTTACCAATTGCGTCACTGAAGCACAATAAGAAGATCCACAAACGCGTCTTGTATCTCTCACGCAATCTCTCTCGTACGGTGCTCTTGTCTTGAGAGGTGATGTCGCCGTCTGTGAGCGGTGAAATAAAGTACTCTGTCATGATACTATAGAGCCCTGATAAGTAGTCATTCGGCGACGACGCAATTAGGGCGCCTTGATGCGAACAAAAAACTCCGGCTGCGCTATCACATACAGGAGTCACCCAAGACAAAGTTACCTTCTTTGCCTCTCGCTTTGTGTTAGCAAGTCACAGCTCGTTGTCGGAGAAGTGCAGCATTCACATGCACCAAAAATGCTTCTCTGCCACCTACTGGTTTGAGTGCGATAGCACTGAGTACTAAAACTGCTTTTTGTATCATGATCATGGCTGCTAGTCGCTAAAGCATGAACCAGTTAAGAAGATGGCAGACAAGAGATGGTAGTGACACACAAAGACAATGAACTAGCAACTAGCCTAACACCATATCTTAGGAGAGCAAATGCGCATGCGCTGTTCACAAAATAATAAAAAATAAAGTGGCCTACATCAAAGGCCGAGATTCTAGCGCCAGAATCAAGTAGGTAACTTTTGATATAAACTGATCCAGACTTCGACTTTATTCGGTGCAAGTCGCAGGTTGAAGATGTGTCAGTATGAGTCAATATGGGGCACCAGAGCCAAATGGTGTTACGGCTCCCAAACACCAAAATACATTGTACAAGCTCTCATACATAAATTAACAATAAGCAAATAACCACGTCTGTGAAGACACGTCTCAGTTTCATGTTTTAAGGGTTCCCAAAGGACAGATGAATCAGCCATGTTTTGCTTTCAGACCATTAACTGAACTTTCAATAGGTGGTCTTGGCCCACCTCTTACACTGGTACGAAAATTTAGGATTATTACCATTATCATTAGCATCGTCTTGTTCGTTAGCATGTGTGAGCAGAAACTAAGTTTCAATATAATTTACATATAGGCGAGCAAGCGGCGAAAATTAAAGAAAACATATATTGATGCTCGAGTCAGCGATACCACTTCAATGAAAACACTAACAATTGTATCCACAATCCCTGTCTTTTTGGGGTGATTTCTTCCTTCAATGCATAACAACACGAAATCATAAACCTGTCTAAAAAAACACTTTAATGCACAGTGCGTAAACTTCGATAGATTTTTTATGTAAGATTTGACGTTGGTGAAGCACGAGGAAGAAGGAACAGAAGCTGGTTGGGTACGTGGCTGAGAGTCATGCATTGATTACGAAACGTTGATTTGCATACTGATCAAGCAGATTGACGTGCCCTGGCCTCCCGTGATGTAAGTTGGTTTAGCTTAATGGCAAACACTTCGCATCTTTGATAGGCATAAGGGGAGAAAAAGAAAAAATGAAGTTAAACTGGCTATTGGACGCCTTGCAAGAAATTGGATCGCACACCCTCGCCTGAGGCAACTTGGCTCTTCTTGCATGCTTGAAATATCAAGAAAGACGGGAAAAACAACATGCCATTACGAATTGTCCAAGCCCCTCGCTTACGAGCTTTCAGATTGTGTGCCTCCTTTAATTCATTACTACGCAAAATAAACTGTACGGCGTGTCGGTTCTTACATCTTGACCTAACTCATTTTCTTTTTCGCTTGGTTATTTTTTCACGCCGCACATTTCTACACGATTGGTGCTTGTGGTGACAACGGCACGTTCAAATATCCTGAAAGTATAGGCTAACATTTTGGTAATGAAGCACTGCCATATCAAAACATGATCTTGTTTCCAGGTGCCTCTCAAGCAGTAAAACTACGGTTTTCAATTATATACGATTATCCAGCTTGTTTTTAGTTTGCTCTTACGTAGTATATGTGAGGATATGACGTTCCCCTTAAAAATATGAAAATAAATGTCACAGACGCACCGCAAGGAAGAATCAGTGAATGTGATAGCCATTGACAACCAATTCGGTAAGTTGTAACCATGTTGTAAGAAGTGAGGCTGGTGGCCCACCTGGTGCAGTTTGACAGAACGGCGGCGTATGAAATGCGGCCGCTGCAGTTCACCATTGAGCATTGTATAGCTGCGCGCACTTGTACAAAGACACACAGCAGAATGCGAAGTCATTTTCTCTATATGCACACAACAACAACAGAATATACCAACTCTACACTAATTTTTTGGAATACTTTCTCCAGAGACATCTAATAACATCAGCCTAAATAAAGCGAATTATGTCAAAATGCTGATTAAAAGTAGAAATAAAAACTCATTATTACTTTAGTTGGCTCGCCAAAATAAGGATTCTAATTTTTGTTTTCCTCGTGGCGAACTTTTGTTTTGGTGCAGCCCTTTGCTGCCCTAGTAGCTGCTCGATAGTAATCAAGCTCTGTAGGCCTATAGTGCTGCGACCCTCTTCTTTTTTTTTCTCCGCACCTCCACGCTTTCAAATATTGATCGGTGAGCCCTCATTCGCCTTGGTGTGTCACATCCAGGCGTAGGCGGTAACTAAGCATGGTCTAGTTACAAGAGTGATCAACTTTGTGGAGGCACACGTAGGCAGAACGAAAGTTGTGCTTCTTCCCCACCTTCCCCTTTTCTTTTTGTAGGATTTGCGCTTGGGAAGCAGAAGACGTGTAAACTAAGACAATATTGAGGACAACAAGTGACAAAGTTTTCTGCTCTATGCGATCGCTTTTTGTCTAGAAAAACTAAATGCCGTGCATGGTCTACTTGTGGAGGAGTTGTTATGGCTGAAATTGGCTTTTATCAGAGCTGCATGCCTTGAAGTTAAGCATAGATGCAGATACATATAGAGTAGTAGATTAACGAAAGTTGTGCTCCTCCCCCTTCTCTTTTTTTAGGAGTTGGCAGTTCCAATACTTTGTTGTATCATCGTCGTTGTAATCAGCGTGACTGCGTCGACTGCACGAAAAGGCCTCTCCCGTGCCCTGCCAATCAATCATTTCCTGTGCTTTCTGCTGCCATGTTATACCTACCAACTTCTTAATCTCAACTCACCAATCATTGTTAAATCTCCCTTTCGTGCATTTTCCTTTTCTTAGAAGCCAGTTAGTCACCCTTTATGACCAGCGGTTATCTACAAGCCCGTCCATGCCCATTTTTTTCTTCTTCATTTCAACTAATGTATTCTTAACCTCCGTTTGTTTCATGACCCACTCTGCTATCTTCTTGTATATTAAAGTTACACCTATCGTTTTAATTTCTATCGCTCACTGCGTTGTCCTCAATTTCAGTAGACGCCTCTTTGTAAGCCTTCATTTTTCTGCCCCGTAGGCAAGTGCTGGTAAGATGCACATGTTATACAACTTTCTCGATAGTAAAACCTCCCACATGAACACACCAACTTTGTTATAAGCAGGAACTGGACTTCTGCTCCTCGCCCGTTGAAAATTGGAAAACTACGCGTACTTGAATAGACCACTCGTAGTCATTAAGAAAACTATTGGAACCGTCCCATCACACCGTCCCATCACACCGGCCAAAGCGTAGAACAAGGTTTTGCCACTATTATGCTTAGTTCCCTTTTGTGTTGATGTTTCAGTTTTTAGATGTTTCGTTGCCACGCTACATTAATTTCAATTTCCTATCATGATGGCCTTTCTCGGTCAGTATGACCGTAAATAGCGTGAGTAATGGTTCTCAGCTGGCTTGGTTACGCAATGAATAGCGTGTATTTATGAACAGGGAAATTAAAGGAAAGCTAAACTGCTA